GGGAAATCCCTTTATTCGTACGCTTATTATATATGCATATGTATCATATGTACTTTTTTGTTTCTTTATTGCCTCACCCAGGACTTTTAAWTAGGTGTTTTTATACCCTGAACAGGGTATATTAAGTTTGTCACAAAGTTTGTAACATTCAGAAGGAAGCGTCGGAGACCCTCTAAAGTATATATATAAATGATCAGTATGTTGAGCTGAGTCGATTTAGCCATGTCCGTGTGTCTGTCTGTCCGTCCGTCTGTATATATACGAACTAGTCCCTCAGTTTTTAAGATATCGTTTTGAAATTTTGCAAACGTCAACTGCCGATATCGGACCACTATASCATATAGCTGCCATACAAACTGAACACATAGTTACTAAAAGAAATGCACCTGTGAAGGGTATATTTTTGTTCGTGCAGCCGAAATTAACGTTTTTTCTTGTTTTTATTTTGATTAGTATGTAAAAACTCAAAAATGTTAATAAGCAGTTAATTGGAATAATTATTTATCAATTTCGCATGTGGTACTCACGWAATATAAACAACAAAATATTTATTCAAAAGATATTACTTGAACTATAAAGTGGATAACAATAATAATAATGACCTATCATATTTCACAGGTGTTTCGTCACGGTGCGCGCACTCCGGTGACCACCTATCCGAATGACCCTTACGTGAACGATACGTTTCATCCSACTGGCTGGGGTCATGTAACAAATGTGAGTAACACGTGGTATTCTTCACTTTATTTATTTCTTCACTTTATTAACAATAACTGTATTGTAATTCAATTTTGTTTACTTTATTTACTAAATTACAGAAAGGAAAAGTCGAATTGTATCACCTTGGAGAGTGGCTACACAGGCGATATGGAAAGTTTATGGAACCGCACTATTCACCTGAGGTGTGTTTAATATCGGTTTAACGACAATTTTTTTAATACCATAAATATTAGTACATATATATATATTAATTACCTAATACATCTTCCCAGTACGTTTACGCTCAATCGACGGCATCAACGCGTGCGTTAATGTCTATGTCTACCGTACTAGCTAGTTTCTTTCCACCGCGTGGTACCGATATGGAATGGAATACCGAATACAATTGGCAGCCAATACCTGTTTTCTCAGAGCCCTTAGAGGAAGACTCTGTAAGAATTTAAAACGTTAGCACTCGGAGCTTGTACTAAATGATTTCTTATTGATTTTCAGCTACTTTTGGTTCGCACACCATGTCCGCGTTWCTTCGAGGCGCGTGAAGAAGTATTTCAAATACCGAAAGTGAAAGCAGAATTGGCTGAGCACGAAGATCTATTTCAAAACTTGACCAAATTAGCTGGGGTGCTTATCAGAAATGCCGATGATGTCAATTCCTTATATAACACTCTGTTAGCGGAGGTGAGTCATCACTATACAGATCTATAAGACGATTTAGAAATTGAGGAAGCTGTTTTTTGTATTTGTACACTAATAACACAAAAGTTACTAGTCACACTAACAACTTCTATGAACAAGTTGGAATACAGTTGTAATCGGTATATATGTAGGTTACGGGGGGCCATTTCAAATAATTTATACGAAATTTGTCAAATTATGCACTTTATAAAGTTCACAACTCTCAGCCTGTCTGAAGTAATTTTATGCCCTCTAATTGGCACTAATTTCACATGTTTAAATCGAATAATGAAAGTGTAATTTATTTGAATATTTAGCAAGAGTTTGGCTACACCTTGCCTGCGTGGACCAAGGATTACTTCCCTGAAAAAATGCAATTTTTAGCCGAGCAAAGCTTTATCTATAACGCATACACCAAAGAAATGCAAAAGATTAAAGGAGGTCCCTTCCTTAAGAAGATGTTTGCCGAGATGTTGGAAAAGCGTAACGGCAAGCTTAGTCCCGGCAATCGTAAGCTATTCGTCTACGCTGCCCATGATTGGACGGTGGGCAATATAATGGCTTCGTTGAATCTGTGGGAAGGTCAAATGTTGCGCTTTGCGGTCACACTTATTTTCGAGTTGCACCAAAACCAGCAAACCGGCGAGTACTACATTGAGGTGCGTTCATGCTTACATACTTGGACCTAATTAATTGCGCTGAGAGTAATGGTTCTCTTTTGATGTTTTACAGATTTATTTACGAAATAGTGARGACGGCTGTGCTGAGTTGTTGTCGGTGCCGAATTGTGGCGCGCAATGCCCGCTGGATAGACTAATTGACCTGAATGCTGATGTCATACCTAATGAAACGTATGAGGAGCGCTGCAAGGCGAAAAATTCTAATTTCGTTGAGCCGCCAAAGCGTGCGGTGGAACGGGACCCGAACTCGAAACTTTAGTAAAATTTATGTATACAACAAATAGTAATATTAAGTTCAAAAAGTATTAATATGTTTAATTAATGATTACTTTTGTGTATTTTCAAATCTAGTTGAAAAAAGTAAGAGTGATTAATTACTAATTATTTTACTATTAACTGATGTACTTAAATAAAATTTARAATATTTTAAATAAAACTAATATTTCAAGTTTGTCTCTTCATCTAAGTATTAAGCCAATATCCGGAATTTGTTGTTACTTGAGGGTCTTATAACTTTTTACCGATATTTTTACCGTTATGCCTTTAACTGTGGCGTTTAAAACTTTAATATTAACGGCTATCGAGAMCAGTGTCCGTTATCTATGTCTCATGAATCCAAACCAATTTTTTACGTTTCTACTTTTAACCATTTAAATGACATCGTATAGTATCACCTATCTGCTCTCATAAGATTTTTTTCCACCTCCTTCTTTTTAGTGACKATCTATCCCTATGGAATGTTATCTGTTTACAATGATTGACCTACACGCCACATGAAAATTGGAAAAGGAATRTCAAACAAAAAATATTTACGATCAGCTCGCTAAGTTGTCGAGTCGTAGCTCGTAATGAGATGCCWATTGCACAAATGTGATGACATAACAACATCTAATTAAAATTTAATAACAATAACAACAAGACTTAAAATAGCTAAGTAGCATACATATGTATGTAAGTATATGTATATTATATTGCAATGCCTGAGAAAGGTTCAAGGTAATAAATTGCATTCGAACACAACGTGATATTGTTTATATAAAATGCATTTTTCATTAATAACAGTGTATTGCAAGCTTTCAAGAGACGCCTTCTATATTTGAAGTTTTACAGGAAATTAGCAAAAAGCTTTAAGAAAAGGSCTAAATTTGAAAGTAATCGACCATTACAAATCCAGCCTGTCAAAAATATTATTTTACCATTGCCATAGTAATAACGTATAGTTAGGCATGAATTAGGTATACTTAGCAAGAAGAAATTTCTATCTTACAGAGCTTGTTTACTATGAAATGTTCTGTAGTGATACCCTGTGGTAACCTGTCATTTGTTTGATAGAAAATGCAGGTGCTGTTACGCAAATATTATATGCGTAAAGCATTTGCTGTATTTTCATATCTGCTGGGTTATCGTTTTCCTCATACTCCTACTTATACTACTGCTCTCAGACATTCATGYATCTGGGGCGGGTTCATATTCCACGTTGGTGTTATCATTCAAAATTAATGTTGCTCCTATCGAGTTAAAATTTCAATTAATAATTATTCGTGCCTCCAAAGTTCCAGTATTAGTTATCATTGACGTCACTTAGTGCTTTTCAAGCACGTGCATCATTTTATGGCCACACATGTGCTGTCTCGTTGTGAGTATGGAACAAAAAACGTTTAATATAATAATACGCACACACAAATGATATTGTTATTGAAGTCTTATCAAAACAATTAAAATTGAAGAGAATGTAGAATAAGATTTAAATAATTAACCAAGTGTGTGCTTTAAGTCGCACTTCTAATTTTATGCCAGACTGTCACGTGTTATCSACAGACACAATTCTCATTTCAATGTTTTGCCAAAACAATGAAATTCAGCTTTCGCTCGTTTTATATTCAATCCTCTTTTATGAATTGGGCTGAGTTGACATATGTACATATATATTTACAATTCCCATATACCATAAAGTGAATTAAAGGTTCCGATTATTCTATATATGTATAATTAAGTCTTATGGTATATTAACGTTTTTATTTGCAATTTCCTGATCTCTATGATCTATCCAAGGAAAAAATAATAATTAAACTGCGATTTATTTAATCAAAATTTAACCTGCGATAAGATAAGTGTAGATTTCATTTCAAAATACATTTTCATTTACTTTATTAATAAAAAAAAACAATATTTGGTTTTGATTTCAATGTGATGAATTGCTAATTGTAGCTGAGCAAGCTTGCATTACAACTACATATGTATGTACACGTGTATATAATTGCAAATATTGGCGCCTTTCATATAAGCCAAATCTCAACGTACGCTTATCTTCTCTCCTCTTTGATTTGACTAGCAAGAACAGCAGAGCTTAGTCGTGCAAGTCTCGTGCTGTTCAAGCAGACTAAGACCAACTATGTTTTATTCTCAGAAATCACACATTAATAAATCAARCTTATATGTACAACAGCAAGCGTAACTGTTCTTTAAGTGCTTATGTGTTTGTGAGTATTTAAAAGCGCTTCGCCGAAAATTGTTGCTCTTATTAGTGAYTATATATCATTACAGTAGACCTCAGAGATTTTTCGTTTTAAGTTTTTTCAAAAACTTGTGAACATTTCTTTATGTGTTATTTGAAAACCAGTGCTGAAAACTGGAAGGATAGAACCCAGGAGTTTTATAAGAAGAAGTAGAAAAGCTTGGATACGAATGGAATTCGGTTATTATTTAGATTTATTTGTAACGRTGAAGGATATTGGAGAAGCCTGATTTTGGACTAACTGGAAGAATTTTTTAAGTCTATCTCAGACTTTCGATATATTTAATTTACTACTGCACGATTTTCTTTTTTTTTTTTTTTGAAACTACGAACAGCAGTTAAGATTATAATAATTTTTTTGTCAATCCAACATTGGCTATACTACCGTCAAAGAAATAAAAGCTTATTAATAATCTTAAATCACACATTTCTGYAGTTTAATTTCTGCTTTTGAAATACAACTAAAATTTTCGTATGCAATGAATGGCTTACTCATATACGATTCGCAACGCAATTTATAGTTAAGAGTATTTCCTTCAATCTTACTTGAAATTGCACAAAAGCACCAAACGTGAATTACATAACATTTTCCAATATTTTTAATGCCGTTATATCACATGCCGAGTCATGGAAGCATCCGTATGTATACATAATTTATTACGATACATTGCACTTGATTAAGGAAACGGAAGAATTTCGGAGCTGCAATCGCAGTCTCTTTCAAACACCGAATAATAGCCACTTCCCTCCGGATTCCTAACGATAACTCATTAAAACTGCCTGCAATCTTTTAACAGTCTACCTAAAATAAAATGCAATTAATTATTGTTTTATTGACAAAATGGTCTTATTGTTTAAATGTTAAAAAGACGTATAAATAACTTCATTACCTGTCTACCTGCGAGCAGGGGCCTTTTTACTGAGAACACATATGCACATTAGTACATACATATGTACGAGTATACGCCTGTAAGTACACAGCTGCCGCTTTCGCGATGTTCCTTGCATCAAAAGTTCCTTCGTATGAGTAGACAGCGACCGTGGGCTAATTTTGCGGTATGAAATTGGGAATTTTTTTACTTAAATGGGAGCGAGGCAGTAATTTTTGCCTTATATTAAGTTCAAATTAGTGCTGTGCATATGGTGTACGTCATGTGTAGGCGCTTAGACACCCGCATAATATTCGAAAAAATATAAATTTATACAAACAACCAACSGCTTGACGTACATACATGCCMTACATATGTATATATACTCGTACAATAAATAAATACGTGAATATAAATCGACTTACAAAGGTGTAATTTAGAGTTGAAGGGCAAAGTGAAACCTACTCGTGCTTTTCAATTTGCTCGAATGCAATTGAGCTGGCGAAAAAAGGTACACGAAACAGCAATAACAACAGTAAAAACAGTAACAACAGTAACAACAATCAAATTAAACAAAATAAATAAATTATTACGTTGAGCGGAGAGTTTAACTCGAATACAATAGGTACTCGCCTTTACAAACATACCTATACATACATACATGTAATAGATCATAATGAGAGAACAGTAAAATCGACGCGAAGATAACAAGTGACTGCATTTGCGTATGCTATCTAACTTATCCACTGCCAGTTATTCCACACCGGAGTACACGGATCGGCCGCTCGACTGCCAAACGCTGCGCGTTGGACTAACTAACTGTCATTTTGCGGAATTTCCTTTATTATCGCCAATGTGTTTTAATTTCTTTTATTCTGTAGTCTCTTTATTGTGTGTGTTTTAATTGTGCAAAAAAAAATATTGAAACAAAAAATGCTAGAGAATCAATGGGAACAACATCCAGGTGTCTGATAAGTGTCATAGTGCTTGCGCCCTACRTACATATGTATGTACTATATATAATTGCAGATAAAATGTATTAAAGTAAACAACTGTGTACCTATAAACTAAATGTGCTATGTGCCAGTTTTGAAGAAATACGCGATTGTTATAATTTGCTGTGATGATTAAGAATGTTAATTAAACGTTTAGCTAATCAGAGTACGCCTTATACATTTTGACAAACATATTACACATATATCCATATGAATGTTTATATTGTGTGTTTGTAAAAAATTTTAACACTTAATAGCTCTCACCTTACGTCAAACAGAAATTTTGGTGAACCTGTTATAATTTTAATTACCGTTAATGCATACACTAACAGTCTGGTCGGCACTCTACAGTAGGCGCACGCGTTCCGCTTATGAAGTAGATTTCCAAAAATTATAAAGCTTTGGTGAAAGTTTGGGAATGGGAAAGTGAAGGTAGTGATTGAGCTGTTGCAGCGGCTAAGCTTGCTTGATTGTTAAAGTATATAACCTGAAATTTAAGTACCAAACAAAATTTGAAATGTGATAATCTTCAAAACGTCTCTATATAGTCAATTAAGAATATTTTCATTTTAACTCAAAGTAACCTCAATTTGTTTGATAGCTACTCGAAATTTCATAAAACAATTTGTACTGCAATCTGTGTTAAAAATTACAGGCTGGTAAAGAAAAAAAAATAAGGATGCTAGTAAGAATTAATCTGAAAACATTTTTAATTTTATATAGCTTTACAGTTTGCTATTTTTACATATTTTAAAGCAGACCAAAAGGACCACTGAGGTAGGAAATTAAAGGTTAATATTGAAATTTGCTTGRATTCTTATGGCTAGGATTTTTAGAAGAACTTGGAACAGCTTTGACAGTAAAATTGCAGTACACTGTAAAAAGCTTTGTCCGAAATGATGTGTGATTCAACATTCTGAATGTTTTACGCTTTCACAATAGTCATATTATATTCTTGTCTTCTTATTATTGTTTCACGTTATAAGGAGGAAACATCAACATACAAAAAATTTTGATTTTATTTAAATAAAATATTACATTCCACATTGTAATATAGTATCGCATAATACTTATTTATTCATTTATTTTACGTACACCTTTCGGAAGTATAAGCTCATCGATAGTAATTATATATGTAAGTGTGTGAATATAATGTAAATCAGCAAATTATTTGATAATCATAATTACAAGCAGTACAATTAACTGCATCTATAATATTTTAATCCGCATTGTTGAATCACTTCAAATTGTAAAGATGATAAAGATGAATTGTTCAGTTTAGCAAATATAATTTTTAATCATTTTACAGTTAACCCTACATACATATCCATACATAAATGAAGTTTAAAGCTGAGTTTGAGGTTTAACCAATTCTTTTGAAGATTATTTGGGGCAAAAATAAATTTTAAACAGTAATTGAAGTCGCTGCTACCACAAATCATTAATTATTGTGTTTAATACAAAATAAAAAAATTACAGTTAAAAAAAAACTGTCTATCGAACTAAATGAAAGGGTAGTGTAWTTCAGCAGCGACTCAGACCAACTGTGTTAATAATTATCATTTTTCTTTCTATTTTAGGTTTTAACATTACATTAGAATATGGAATAAGCACAGTACTCACACGATTAGAATGTATGTACATATGTATGTACGTATGTTAAGCCGCACACCTATATCTCTCACACATACACACCATCATACATACATACAAACATATGTAGATGCAGGCTAAAGACAAGTAATTTTGAAAAAGCTACATATACTACAGTGATAATATTTAAAAACAAGCAATATTGATAAAAAATAATATAGAATATTTGAAATTTTCGTATAAAAGTAAAATCTGAAATGTCGCGCACACATTTCTCTAATAAACATCGTCTAGCTATGGCCGGCGCAGCGGTGGCGGTGGTGCTTTTATTGTTATGTTTGCTCAATTCAAACGTTCTTTCATTCGTGTCCGAAGACAAAGCCGATGCTGATACTTTAGAATTACTACATGTGGTGAGTTGATAATACGGTAAACGCGCAAATCTGCTTACAAACAAACATATACAAATACTACGCACGTTTGGCTCGGTGCAATACTCCAGCACATGACAAAGTCGCACTTGAAACTGCTCTATGACAGTTTTGTTTTAATTACATCAATAAAGTGATAAGTGATAGTKTTTTATGTGAGGGAAGTGCATTTATGGGTGTGCATGTAATTAGCTCGTGTTTACTTATAATATTGGTTTTATAAGTCATCAATATAAGCGGATTGACAGTTAAAGTGATATTGGACGTGTTTTAACTGCGGTCATTTTTGTGAAAAGTGATCGGCTGATTTGCATTTAATAAAAACTACATTTTAAGGCGGATTTTTTTTTTCAAATATATGCACTCAATAATATTATATTTTATATTAGTAATTCTAATAAAGTGTTAATATGAAATATATATTCACAATGTGAAATGAACTCATATATACCATGGCACCTTGAGTATAATGAAATAAATACAGGGACGTGGATAACCCATCGCTTTGAAGAGTACGACAAGATTTTAACTAATAAATGGCGAATTCTTTTAATTGAAAACTTCTTTCGAACAGCAGGGATTCATTAGCGGTTTTCCACGGTTCCACAAAAATGCAGACAGAGATTCTTCCATTACCAGTCGAGTGGCAATATTTTTGGTGTGTAGCACATATTGTAGTTATCAAACAGGTCAACAACATTTTTTTTTTTTTTTCAGTAGCTACCAACACAAAAACTGAAACACACTACCTACAGTTCATAATGATAAATCTGTATTTGGTTTTGAATAATTTTTGCAAAATTTCCCTTACATGTTAAAAACTTAAATTTTTTAAATAGTGTCCTTGATTTAACTAAATCCTGAAAGATTTAGTTAAAACACTTTTGAGCTTCTTCAATACGCAAAATCGTTTTATCCCAAATTGCCTACTTTGATTTAAAGACGCTTTGATTTGCATTAAAATTTAATGTTTTCAGGCCAATGAAAAGTTGAATACAATAATGTCGTTGTCCTTGAGTTATGTTACCCTCGCATTTTTATGTAATCATTGTGTAAAATTTTCACTTTTTATACCATGTTTATTCAAAGCGCGCGTCGCATATGTCTCGGTTCTTATCGATGCCCTTAACTCTTTAATTGCGAGCACAAGCAAGCACCGTGATTACTTCACATATAATTAACACCCAGTCGGTTTTCATATTTTGCAAAGTGTGAAGGAAGCTTGCCAAATAATAAAGTTATCCATGCAAAGACTTGATATTAATCGCTGTATTCTTATGACAATTATAGGGATGAGTAAGCCGATAATGGCGGTACTGGCAAATGAGCAGTTTTCTGGGGAGAAAAGGACGTGTTCAAAATTTCAGTTCAAAGTCGTGTATACAAATAAACAGACGGACAGACCGGCATGGCTAAATCGATTCATATACATTTGTTTATATATATATTGTCCGATTTACGATTATCATTTATTATTCTAGGTTTTCCGACATGGACCACGAACACCCGCAGACACATATCCAAATGATCCACACATTAACCAAACATTCTCTCCTTTCGGATGGGGGCACATAACCAATGTAAGTCATAGCCAAAGCAGAAATAGCTTATATGTAATTTTTACATTGATAATAACTACAAGCAAATTATGAGGATTTAATTTATTTTCGTATACTTTTATAATATATTTTAGTTATTTTGTATTTATTCTTTCGACTTATATTTTTACTAACAAACTTTTTATTTATATTCCTTCCACGTACATATGTTACATATGGTATCAAAATTCATTTGACGGAAATCATTATTCACAAAAACGGACTTGAACAACCTGCCCCTTATGCAGAACGGCAAGCGTGAGCTATTTGGCATTGGAACGTGGCTGCGCAAGCGTTACGCAGACTTCATGTCGCCATACTATACGCCAGACGTAAGTGCAGGGCAGCACAGCGCTTGACACCGGAAACGGAATGTCGCAGTGTGGTAGTAATGGAGCATCGAAAATCAATGTAATGCGCCCTCCATTCCGGTCAAGCGCTGGGCGGAAAATGTTTGGATGCATTTTATTAGCAATTCGGTTGCTACGATTGTAGCGTGATTGAACTAATATTTATGTTACGATATGTATTTGTTATTGTTTTCTTTTTCTTTTTTCAGGTKKCACACGCTCAAGCAACGGGTGTTGCACGCACCCACATGACGCTGCAGACGGTCTTGGCGAGTTTGTTCCCCCCAAAAGATACGCCCATGGAATGGCATCCGAAATATAATTGGCAGCCGGTGCCGGTATTTTCGCAGCCACTCAATGAGGATTCGGTAAGTGAAGATTTTAACATCTAAATGTGCCAATAGCAATCGATTTTGCAAAATATGAAATTTTTAATTATTTTTGTATATATTTTTACAGTTACTGTTGGTGCGCACACCTTGTCCGCGTTATTTTGAGGCTTTAGGTGAAGTTTTAGAGTTGCCAAATGTGAAAGCGGAAATTGAACCATACCTCAGCATGTTGAGCGAGTTGTCACTCTTAACCGGCATGAATTTAACGCAACCGGAAGACGTTCAATCGCTTTACCTAACACTTTTATCAGAGGTAGTTATTCAGTCCCCCATAAAATAATAAAAGAAATACTTATTATAAAACTTTTTTATACAGCAAGAATTTGGTCTAAAACTTCCTGATTGGACGAAGAGTTACTTCCCTCAACAAATGCAGTTCCTTACCGATCAAAGCTACATTTATAACGTTTATACGCCAGAGATGCAAAAGATAAAGGCTGGACCATTTTTGCAGAAAATGTTTAAAGAAATGCAGGAAAAACGCGTTGGCAAACTGAAGCCAGAGGCTCGAAAAATGTTTATTTACACAGGACATGACACGACAGTGGTCAACATTCTGTCTAGCTTAAAAATTTGGAAGCGMCAGTTGCCACGTTACTCGGTTATGACTATTTTTGAATTGCACAAGAATAAGYTTACCGGAGAGTATTATGTAGAGGTGAGTTATTACACATACTTTATAGTATAATTGAAAATTGAACTGCAGAATCGACTTCAATGCGCTCTTTGTGATTTTAGGTTTACTTCCGAAGTCATGCCAAAGCGCCATTAGAGAAGCTGACAGTACCAGGCTGTGATTTTCAATGCCCCTTAGACAAATTAATTGAACTAAGTAGTGATGTACTTCCAAATGAACCATACGATGTGCGTTGCGCTTCAAAGAATGAAGGTTTTACGGAACCACCGCTCAAAGGACCTTAAGTGATATACCCTAAGAAAAAAAGTATTTTTATAACGCCTAATTTARTTTGTAAAATTTTATTTATTACACGAATATTTGAATATAATTTAGTTATAAGTTCATAAAGAAATTGTTTTTATGTGAAAATAAATTAATGTATAGATAATTATTTATAATTTGGATTTTTGAAATTTTTGCGAGGAATTTCACGTAGATTTMAGGAGCTTATAAATGAAACGGAAAGACCAATATTACTTTCTTTAATTAGAAAATGCATGAAATGATGTGTCAAAAATTGTGYAAAGCAATACGTTACACTAAACGGTCTTCAACTACGCAGCACCAATATGGTCGCCTGGATGCAATGGAATGCAGATGAAGAAGCTACGGACCTGCCGAACACTGCACTGCGGACCACGACAATCCTGTCTCCCATTGAACATCTACATAGTGAGATGCTTWTGCTCTCAGTTAAGGARCACAATTAAATCCTCTCCAAGCAGTTCCTGCTGAGATGCTTTCGTAGAAAACACCCCTGCAACCACATGCTTGGAGAGAAACCGCCTCCTAGGAGCATCAATAGGTCTTTCCTCGATTACGTTGACGACATCGAACAATACGCCGACCGGACTTCGGATGCAACTAACTTCCGACAGGTACTGACCGCCATTCACAATGGAGCCATCAACACCTCACTGACTCCCTTCCAGTGAATGGCGTTCTTGGAGTCAAATCATTGCAGACGAAGAGCTCGAGTTGCCGYGAGAAACGCGAGTGACCCTTGCGRAGCTGCATTCTGGATATTGTAGCAAGTTAAACACCTACTTGTCCAAAATAGATCCCGACATATCCAATATATGTCCTGCGTGCAATAAGTCTCCGCCTGACACTGGTCACCTCTTTGCATGCGCCGCCAACACCACTCATCTGAAACGCTTTTCCCTTTGGTCCGACCCMATCCACACAGCACGTTTCCTGGGCTTCTCTTTATATGACGTCAACTTAGATAACCCTCAACACCCCAACGAGAACTACATAATCCCTTAAAACAACAACAACAGCAACGACTATACAATTTTTGACACCGYAATACCTTTCTTAGAGTTATAATCTCCTGTTATGAAATATGTTCATCCTTACGGAATCATGAGAAATATATTATCTTGGAAAAATCACTCTTGTCTTTAGCATTCAASTTCAAATGGTAACGCTTTGTCAATATGTAAAATTAAAGTTTTGATATCCGCTGCATATTGGTGAGATGAAAGAAGAGGATGATGTAATCAAAATTAACTTTGAGGGAGTTATACCAATCTCACTAAGAAATGAACTTTTACAATTTTGCAAAATCAAACCTTATAGCATGAGGTTGGCAAAGTGGAATCTTAAATCAACATCCATATGGCATTCCGGCGCTCAATCTACTTCCACTAGAGTACATCAAGAACAAAATAATTATTTTGGAAACGTTTGRTAAATGAAAATTAACGCTAATCGAGTTATTTATTGTTATTGTTTTGAAAATACTATTTATTCCACAATTTTAAATATTATACGCTTCTCACCCATACATCTACGTAAAAACACATTGCTCAACTAATAAATTTAAATTCGTTCTACTAAAAACGCGAATGACTCCAAGGGCCACAATTAAGGAACGAAAAAATACAGACCAACTCGCTCATTGAAAGCAAACGATATAAAAATGCTTTGTTTACTGAAAATACTTGAAAAACCACACACACACATGTATGTACATAAGTGCACAGTAGCAATCTCAATGCAGCAAAAAACACTACTCGGCTCCGAAAGGGAAATGCAATTTAAAGTTCCCATTATGTTTTTCAAGAGCCGCTCAGCATTAGTTGCAATTTTTGCAAAACTGAAACATCACTTCATTCTCTGCCCTTCCGCTGCCCCCAGTGCAAGACCCCACCATTACTTTACACTCTATGTAAGTATGTACATATATGTATGCAAATACATATTTGGGAGTATGTATACAGTCCCAAACACACAGCAACTACCTTCAACAAATCGGAACAGCAGCATTAGCATTTCGGTTGAACTTAAACTTCATTCGAGTTTTGTTGGTGCGCATCTACGCTGCCGTTGAATTGTAAAGTTGGGCAACATTAGATACGCCTTATTGACTAGCACTTTTTGTGATTTAACATTTGTGCTTCAGGTAGTTGAAACTCCGTAAATTTGTAGCGTACTTGTGAAAATTCTCTAGACCCTCTCACTTTGTTACTTTGCCACATTTGGCGCTACCGAATCTCCGCTACTGGATATACTCCGGCWTAAAATGTATGTATGGGTATGCAAATCGTTAAAGAACGTACATTAGTGCAAACTTGTGGGGGTATACGCATGCATACTCGTGCATAGCATATACATATGTACATAGTATGTATGTATATGTTGATATAAGTTGACTAATGGCTTAGTAGATAGATAGGAACGTTTGAAATTATCAACGTCAAATGATTGATCTCCGACTATCAGAGCAGGGTGCGTCTCGTGCGTAACTACAAATTGTTGTGTTCTGTGTTAAAAATACCATTCTAGCTGCGGCGCGATTTTAAGAGACATATTTCTAATTATTTCCGGAGTACAGCGTCCACAAAGCCTTTTTAATGGTTAATGTCCGTAAGAAACTAGATAAGTGACATAAAAATTATTTATAAAATTTAATGAAATTAGAGGACCAGTTGCTCAGATGACCTTTACTTGCCCAAACTTTTCATATTTTCAAAGTTCGTAACATATCTGCTTCCGTTATGTCTGCTCGATGCAAAAACTAATTAACATGTAAGACAATTTCAGTCCACATTTTATGGGCCAGTGCTAATATAAGTTCATTTAAAAAAATCCTGTAAGTTAAGCAATTGAATATGCTATATTAAACCGTTCCAGTTAAAGTAAAATTTCTAAGCCATCATACATTTCACATCAAGGGGTGAACACTGGCTAAAACAATGAGTATGCACATGAATTTGGCTTTACTTTGTTTGAAGATGGGTCAAAATTTACGAAAACCAAAACGAGAAACTGAAACGAACGAACGATTACACTTTAAATGTGACCACCAAGGAATAACCAACCGACGGCAAAGAGAGAAACCGGTGTGGAAATACGAGCAATAAGGGAACGCTTCATCCACTAGTCCTTTTAGGTTTTGCTTTGCGATGCAAATTTTTCAATCACTTTGTAGCTTTGCTGCTGCCAAAGTGACAAAGTAAATAAAATGCAAATTAATCGGCAATTTTCTTGCTCGTTTGCGTGTGGTAAATAGAAGATGCGCCGTCACACAAACCCAAATGCATGTGCATGTGTATGTGTATGAGAATTAATAAAATATTTTTGGTAAAGTTTTAACAGTTGGGTAGTTTATTGATTGCCAGTTTAGACGAATAAATGCATGAGATAAAAGGGATTTGACGCTTAGATGACAGATACTCGAATTTGTTGCCAAGGTGGTGGTACTTACAAATTGTATTCATAACGATTATACATAATGACTAAATATTGAATAAATCATTCGCCTTTTGTGGCTTTGCTTAAATTGCTGAGATATGACTYTCGTTAAAATAATTATTAATTTTACGTTTGTTTTCTTCTTAATACAAACACTAGACAAAAATTACACCGTTAAAGWATAAATCTTTCAATATTACCGATATTTTCCCGAAACAAGTTGAYTGATACGATCAAGTTTCACTACATTTTCACGTATTTTAATAAAAATAAATATTATTATTATTGCATCCTAAGCCAATACAATCATGCCAATGCTTAATAAAATGTTCCATACACTTATTATAAGATTCGGCTGGAATGGTCATCGATACCTTTAGTAAATTTCGATTTTTCGGTTTTGGCTCATTTTTGGAGCGCCATTCGCTAGATTGTGRGATRGTGAACAGTTCAACAGTATTCATAAACCCTTGCCTCGTTACCAGTATTGATGCTTTTGAAGAATTGAAGGTCCTCAGATACGTTGGCAAGCATCTCTTTTGCAATCTCTACTCGTTGTCCTTTTTGCCAAAGATTTAGGTCTTTTGGTACGGTTCTAGCATTAACACGCTTCAAAGCCAAAACTCCAACGAAAACATGTTGATCAATCCAAAATCTGAATGCTTTATGTCACTCAAATACTTGTCTTCGTGATAAAGTTCTACAATATTTACTACGGTCCCGTAGCATTGATTCCTGTAGAACGCATTCTTTCCAGCAAACAAGTTGTTCAATTTTTTTTTCGTGGTAAAAATTGTCAGACAAACTATTCGGGTTATAAACACACAGCTTCCAAGCACGCACAAATTGGGGTATAGAAAAAKTTGGACCTGGTTAGGAGAAAAATTATTATGGATTCGGATAGCATGTTTGAGATCGTGTTTAGAATTCTTCCCTACAAAATAACAGTAGCGTGACAGATTGTTATRAAATTATTCTTAATGTCTCAATATCAGACATTTACTGGGAGAAACAAAATTTACTTAACTGTCATAAAATGTACATTTGTAGCTTATGTCCCATTGACGATTTCAGCATCCGGCCTTGCACTCATGCATCACCTCCTCGCCTAAGGCGTATGCTRTACTGCATAAGTATATCACTTAAAACATTCTTATTCTACGATAAACAATTAGCAGACAAAAGACAACCTTATAGCAAATACTCGGCGATTTCTATAAAATATCAAGTTACAAACATTATGCTCCATTTAAAATAAAAATGTATGTTTGTTTGTATGCACATAATCACTTTGACAAAATGGACACAGTCCATAAAAGGCAAAGAAAAAGATTTATTTACATAGTCACTTTACCATCCAAGGCTTAAGTGGCTTTAAAATCATGACAAATACACTAACAAACAGATCAGCGCATATATAAACAAACAAATGTATTTATTCAACGTTCTTGAGTTTAGTTAATTGTGAATATGATTTTGCGTGCAAGCGTTTGTATTGACCCAGTAGGAAAAATACATATGTATGTTACCGAAAAACGRGGATAAAAATAGTAATTCACTTCAATGTCTTATAACACTTCAGTTGTTAACATTTATGTARGTCTGGTTTTATCTGACT